CTAGCATTATTGCTTTATTGCTATGAATTAGTAGTATAAAATTTATTTGATACTTATCGATATAAATCGGGGTTTTTATATAATCGATTAATAGCAATTTTCTGTTATAACGGCTATATATCGATTTTTATCACAATCAATATAACCCAACGGGGGGGATTATTATCGATATATATCTGCATAGATATTAATCGATATATATTGGCCTATATTTTTTGCTGATGACTCATTAACTTTGAAATTAATTCACTATCCAATTCAGATATTTTAGTTTTAAGAAACTTGATCTCAGATTCTTTCTTTGATAAGTCTTTCTGGAATAATTCCAATATCTTGATCATAGATTGAAGTGATTCTATTTCGCTTGATTTTTCTGATAATGTATTTTGTATATTATGCAACTCGATATTATAATTATTAATAATAATCTGTTGATAGTTATTTTGGGTTTTTTAACTAGATATTTCTTTCTCTAATTGTTTGGCTACTAATATATAGTGTTGAGTATGGGAACGAATATCTGCATCAGCTCGCTTCAGGTCACGATATAAACGAGCATTCTTCTGTTTAATGTTTTTACTAAACTTTGAATATGCCTTCTGATAATTTTTAAATTCATCAATAAGTTCAGAATTGGTCTTACAACTATTACACAAAGCTTCTTCAAGTTCTACTTCTCTAGTACTCTCAAGCCGATATCTTTTTGAGTTAATATCTTGCAACGTGCGTATATTAGCCATATAATTTTTTCTTATATATTCTAAAAAAAAATACTAAGTAATAGATATATACTATTAGTATTACCGATATTACTAATATTATTGATAATATAATTAATATATTACCGATATTACTAGTATTACTAATATTATTGATAATATTTAATATATAATATATTACTAGTATTACTAGCATTATCAATAATAATAATTTTTTTTATTGGTATTATCAATATTACTGATACTATTATCCAGACCATGCGATCTGATGCTATTAAACTATCACCAGCTGACTATAAATATATTTTGCAATATAAAGATGCAAAATCCAAACTTTTAGAGATGCTTAGAGATAAATATCCTATATCCAATACTCATTTTTATCAGATATGAAAAGGAAAAGAGGTTTGTACAAATACTTGGAATCTATCTTTAGCCGATTCAAAAAGTGATATTTCAATACCTATAGTTGTGAAAAAGACAACAAAGAGAAAATCTAAGTCCAAGTCTGTTCGTATTTCTGATCAACACTCTGTTAGTAAAAATTCAACTGAAAAGGTAAATAAAATATCAGAAGCAAAAAAAGAAACTATACCACCTGATACCTCACAAAAAACCAAAGATCCTTTAGAATTCTATAAGAAAACACAAGAGGAGGCTAAAAAGACGAGAGCTGTTGCACGTGCTGATATTTCTAAACTATCTGCTCCTATTTCAAAAGCTTAGAATTAGTATGACTAATTTTTGCTTTATACTGATCACGCAAATCATTATAATATCTAATAAATTCTGAATTGGTTTGAATAATACTAGTAAATAATACCCTTTCAAGTTTCTTTATATGGATAGTCATACTTTCACAATTTATGCATTTTTTTTTAACTTTGATTGATCAAAATTTTCAGGAGCATGCCATTCCTCCAATGGTTCTGAAGTTTCTGTATCTTGAGCGGTATCCTGTATTATAGTAGTACAACAGCTTGATATCTTACTTGAAGGCTATTTCACATTAATATCTTCAGTTGGCTTAGTAAAGGTTGGGATAATATAAGATTTTCCACAAACTATCATTTGAAATTTATGTTTATTTATATCTGGAATTCCTTTAACTTTTCAGATCCATGGTGTCCCTATACAAAGAAGATAATCAGTTTTTCCATCATCAATAACTACAATATTTCCGGTTATTGTAATCAACTCATCTTTATATTTTATTGATATTGGTACATCCTTATGTCCGCCAATTAATTTTGTTATATGATTGGAATTATGTGTAAGAGCAAAATTTGGTGCTTTTCCAAGATTCTATCTCAATGCATCATTTAATGCTTTATTAATAATATTATATATAGATTGTGTATTAATTCCTCCTCCTTCTGGAATATTAATATTTTTAATTTTGCACTGTATATATTCAACTGAATCGGCCTACTTATTTTCTAAAGATAGATTCATAATTTTATCTCGCATTGCTAGAAATAATAGTTCTATTAACTGTTTATCTGATTCTGGAAAAAACTTACTAAAGGTGG